AAAATAAAAATAAAAAATAAAATGATCCACATCATACAAATACAAATGTGTGTGTGTGTGTGTGTTTCTAGTTGGCATGTGCACTTCCCCTCTTTGCCTGGATTTTTATAGAATTCTCCCTGCCCAATTATAAGTAATAAGTCTTTGGACTTATTTTCTGTCTGTGTGGGAGTGTGTAGAATTTGCACCTTCCACCTGAAAAATAAGGAGCTACCTCAGACTGGGTTTTCCTCGGCACACAGCCATGTTTAGTCATGCAGCATAAAGTGAAATAGGTCAGACGAGAGCCACAAAGGTGTCCACCAGGTAAGGGATTCCCAGATGATGGGTCAGAGATGGGTCTATGCATAAAGCATCCTTCACGTGTGGGAAGGACCTCATGAAGGGAACTCTGTGAACACCCCATCCAGCTCCCCTGCATCTCCCTTAGGGCAGGGCAGTTGGCCACTGGGGGACACCACTCCATGTGGCAGAAATGAAGTGGAACCCATGCTGGTTTGTTTTAAACCAATGGTTCTGGGGATCAGAGTGTGGGTGCAGCAACATTTGGGGGCATCCTCTTATTCTACAGCATTGTAGGGAAGGAGACATTTCAGTACGGGTTTGGGTGTGTGCTAACCCAATGTTGGTGTGCTGGGGAGGCTTCTACAAAACCAGCTGCAGAGAGTGAGGATTCAGAATCCCAGAGCTCACCTCCTCACGCTCTGGCTCTCTCTGGCTCTTCACGACAGCAGGTGTACGTAAATATCAGCCTCTCCTTGTGTGCACTCATTAGGGTTTTCCTATGGTCAACACGAACACACTAGTGACTACACTAAACAACTCTCCGCTCCTCTCACTATACCAGTAACTCTACGGGGCTAAACTTTGGGATCAAATAAATGCAACCAATTTGTAATCAGTCTTATTTTACCATCTCTGTACAGATTTTCTTTCTGAGAAAGGAGTATTTACACCCAGTTATTAACCATGGCTCCAGACCTACGAAGAAAACAGAATGGAAACTGTAGAGAGCAGTGAGCAAGGCTCAACATGTCAAAGAGATCCAAGAGGAAGGAGGATCTGAGCAAGAGAAGCGACGCTATCTTATATAACATCTTATATAACATGACGTCTCTCCCGCAGAGTATGAGCCCTTTACATCGGCTTTTCTGTTGTCTGCACCCAAAAGCACTGCCAACAGACAGGGCCCTCGTCTTTGGTCTTCTGCACTTCACCCCACCAGGCAGTTCTCCTTCCAGAGGAGACAACTGACTTTTTATTAAGGAAGGTGGCATCTCTGCCAGTATTGTGACCCATGTTTATACTACATTTTACAGAATACAGCAGTCAAACAGGAAGGGGAGGCTGCATTCTCATGGCAACTATTAAGAGAAAGAGACACAGCGATCCGGCCGAAGAAGGGAGCTTCTTGAGACCAGGCTGGGGACAGGGCTGAAGGAGCACCTGAGAACCGCACCTGGGGCGAGGCTGGGGGCCTGGGGAAGCGTGGAGGCTGGCAGGTGACCGTGGAGCCCTGCACCCTTCCTCGTAAGGGGACTCAGACACTCTCCATGTCTTGTTTCTCCTTATCACTAAGAAGGAGCCTCCCTCTGTTCATGGGAAAGCAGACAGGAGCACCCCATTCCCCCCTCACACCACACGAGCCCGAGGTCTCTGACAAGCCTGAGGACTAGCTGCTCAGAGAGACATGCCAGGGACAGTCCATTCAGCTATGGGACAAGTAGAGTCCTGTCATATAGAATAAAGCTCTTTAAAGCAACTGAGATGAAAGAGCAAATGATTAAATAAACATGAAACTAAGTCAGGCAATGGCAGATATCTCTATCACATCTGCCTCTTCTTGGTTAGTAACATTTTACAAAGGTCTGAGCAATTTCTTTTTGATCTTTGTGACACTCAATATGTAAAATAAAAAAAAAATTAAGACAGGGTCTTGCATATAGTCTGGGCCTTGAACTCCCCTTGAACTAGAGGTGATCCTCCTGTCTCAGCCTCCCAAGGGCTGGTTATTATAGGCATGCACCACCATGACCCAAGAAAAATTACTGTTGTTTCCTGTATTTCTTTTGTAAGACTGGGCACATCTGGGACATTAGTAACCTGACAGTTTTTGGTTCCTTCTCCCCGTCTCTATGTATCAGCCTTTTGAAATCTGAACTGAATGGAGAATACCCACAGCAGACAGACGGCATTTGTTAGGACTTCACTAATATCATGGTAGTAAGATTTTGGGGAGCACTAGAACTTTCAATCTTCATGATCCCCTTCGTCTATCAAAATACAAAAAAAAATTAAGAATCCAAAACTGTACTGGTATAAAAACAAATACAGGGCCAGGGATTTAGCTCAGCAGCATAAGCGCCTGCCTTTGATCGTGAGTTCAATTCCTGGTACCAAAAAAGAAAACAAATACAGTCCAGATAGATATGCATACAGGCTGGATTTATTACTGCATATCCATTTATTCAGTTTTAAGAGGTATGAAATTAAGAAATTTTCATGATTCTTTTTCTTTTCTTTCTTCTTTTCTTTGTTTTGTTTTTTATTGTTGTTGTTCTTTTTGTTTTTTAGGCAAGGGCTCACTATGTAGCCCAGGCTGGCCTTGAAGTCACCTCAATCCTCCTGCCTCAGCCTCCTGAGGGCTGGGATTACAGGTGCCAGCACCACATCTGGCTAAGACATTTATAAATTCTTTTCTTTTTTTATGGTTAAGACATAAATTCATTTTTTTTTTGACAGAGTCTCAATATTTAGTTCAGGCTGGTTTTGTACTCACAGTGATTTTTCTGCCTCAGCTTCCCAAGTGCTAGGATCACAGGCGTGCACCCCCACACCTAGCTTTCATAAATTTTAAACTGTTTCGAGGGCCCTGGACACTGCGCCCTCTGCCGAGTAAGTTGCTCTGCTATTTTCCTCGGACTCATGTGCTTTGCAATCCAAAGTTTCAAAGCTCCCCAACTTTCTTAGTCTTGCCTTTGAAAAGCCCACATGCCACAGACATGTGACAATCATTCTCTCAATATCTCAAAACGTAAATTTTTAAAGGTCAAAGTAATAATTTCATACGTAGGAAATTCTGATGCCTTTAGATACCCATCTCTATGTGGGTAAAACAATAACTACTTTAAATGAAATATGGATGCAAAAACACATTTTAAAGCATAAATCATTTCATAAAGTTTGGATATTAATATATCATTTAATGCTTCCATTGAAAACTGAAATTTTAACTGTGCTAATTCAGTTTTATATAGAGCTATTCTGAGTAAAAGGCATAACAGAAAATTGGAAGAAATGATTTTTCTAAGAGGCTTGAACTCAGGGCCTTCACCCAAGAGCTACATCCCTAGTCCTTTTTTAATTTTTTATTTTGAGGCAGTCCTGCTAAATTGCCCAGGCTGGCCTCAAACTTGAGATCTTCCTGCCCCATCCTCCCAGAGTGCTGGGATTAAGGCCTGCACCCCCACATACAGCTTATTGATGCCATTAGGGGTGCCATTTTCAGAACTAGTGGAAGCCCCGCACTTTCTGCAATGCATGTGTGTACTCCATGTGCTCTGCACAAAGGGGGACCATCAGGCTGTCTTAACAGGATCAGAGGGAAGAAGCCAGGAGCCCCCTCCCCAGGCAGCTCCTCATATCGGCGTTCTTGGTGAGCTGTTCTTTCTTCTCCATCGTTAATCGAAGCCAATGCTAGTTACACATATCCAGCGGTGGAGGAGATCTGTCAGGCGGGATTTTTGATAAAAGAGTCCTGACCACATGATAGCCCTCCTTAGAATCTTCCCACCGAACAAGGGTCAGGAAATGACTCACCACCAACCCACAGGCATAACGTCAGAAAACCTTAAGACAGAAGCAACTTCAAAAGATCAAGTAAGGCCATCTTTTCCTTTATCAAGAATATGTATGACACAAGACTTTAATGGAATGTGTGAGCCACTGTACTTTACATAATGCTTTAAAAAATACTCAAGTATCTCTAAAGACATCATTTTAAAAATACACTATCTCTGTGGTATAGGGGGAGGGTGTGTAGAGCCACTGACAATAATTTAGAGGTGGGATAAACTTTTCCTGTAAAAAACTGAGGAGTAAATATTTTAGGCTTTCCAAGCTGCAGAGACTCTCTGATGGATTTTTATTTTGTTTTGTTTTGTTTGTATTTGTTTTTGTTTTCTTTCTTCCAAGTACCTCTGTTATAGGCAGCTGAGCTAGTGAGAAATATTACAGGCAGTCAGACGGGGCTGGGCCCTCAAGGAAGCCAGCAGCGCAGAGGACCAGGTGTCTGGTGACCTTGGAGGGGACACACACCTCTTGCTATGGGCCAGATCTCAGGACAGAAGGCAAAACAAATGCAACCACACCCTACGTATAGTCTTTATGGATTAAATCTGGGTCACATTGAGAAGCCAGGAGTCACCATCCCAATCCCTAGGGAAGAGCCACGGATCCATAAAGAATGCTCGCTGCTACAGACTCTTTCCCCATTGCTCTCTGATTGGTCAACTTTACCTGAACAATTAAACCTATTGGCTGACCACAGCTCTGTCCCACCTTGCGCCCATATGCCTTGTGAGTTCCCAGTTTTCCCCAATTTTAGACCCACCTCACCTCATGGTTTTATTTAAAAATCCCGAGAAAATACAGAACCTTTGGCAACCCACTGGGGACCCCTTCTGTCTCTCTTCCACTGTTCCTAAAATTCATTCTTTGATTTTAGAGAACACGAACTCGTTCCAGACATAGTAGCTTGGGAGTTTCATTCCCCCTTATATCACCTTTAAGAGTGTAAAAATGTTTTTCTTGATGGGCCATACAGAACCAGGTGGGTCAGATGCACAGGTAATCATTTGCTGATCATCAAACAAGACAGTAAAATTGAAGTGGCAAGAAAGCATCAATTTACAAATAAAAGAGGTAGGAAATGAGTAAAACTTAAATCTTCACAGCTTATTCAATATACCATTGTATACCTATGAAAAATCTCCATGTACCTGAAATTCATCAAAGCACAGAAGACCTGCTTCTTGGCTGATTTCTTCAGCTATGGGAGCTATTGGGTCATATGATTTGGTCATGAATCCTGGTTTCCTTTTGGGCAAATTCTGTTTAAGGCGATGTATTCCTTAGATGGAGGAAATAAAAGCAAGTATTAATGTACATTTTAAAAAGTTATAACATGTTTTTAAAGCCCCACATGAAACTTCAGTGAAGACACAAAAATTTGGGTTTAAATGCGATTACAATTAAACTAGATTTTTGAAACTGGTTGTGTTTCTCAATAAATTGTTTGAGTGATATAAACCTAGAGTTGTGTGGAAACATCTGCCCTCCAGAATCACCACAGAGGTGACTCAGTGATGACTGATCAACAAAGTAACCTTAATCCTGATGATTTCAGGGCTGGGACAGGAGGCTGGGTCCCGCCCCACAAGTACATGCTCTTTCCATCACATCCAATCAAATGTCCCCTCATCCCAATCCTGCACATGAAAGCCAGCCCATTTCATTCACTTTATGTGCACTGCCTACTGAGACGGTCAGGGAAAAAACCATAATGTCCCTGGTGTGGGCATCACAGTATAGCCACAGACAAACCACAGAAAAATGAAATAAAAGCTGGGCATGGTGGTACACACATGTAACACTCTGGAGGCTGAGGCAGGAGGGTCACTGTGAGTACAAGGCCAACCTGCATTACTTAGTCAGACCTTGTCTCAAAAACAACAACAACAGAGACATAAAATAAGAACACTGGGCAAAGTAATTCAGTGACTATGCAAATACAAACTAGATGCCTACATGCTGAAATTACACAGAGTAAAGAACCTATCAAGAATAACATCTTAGGGGGACAGAATAAAAGAATAACATTTTAACTGAGTGTGACGGTGCACGCCTGTAATCCCAGCACTCAGAAGGCTTAGGCAGGAGGATTACCAAGACTTGAGGCCAGCCTAGATTATATAGTAGGTTCAAAGCCAGCCTGGACTACACAGTGACATCCTAGCTCAGAAAAAAAATCTCAAAACAATGCGTTCTTAATATTTTTTTATTAACCATTAGTAGAAATTTTAAAAATGCCTGATCTTCAGATAGTAACTTCCATTCTCTGATTTGAAAGTAATGAATTGGTTTTAAGAACCAACTCTGAATGTACAATTTCAGTGTAGCACAAAACAAATGAAAGCAAACAAAGTCTTATTTTAAGCAAAACTCTAATTGCTTTTTAGTTTTTCCGTTTTGCTGCTGTTGTTGGCTTTTGTTTTATTTTGTTTTTCAAGGGCAGGGTCTCACTATGTAGTTCAGAGTGGCCTTGAATTCACTATATAGCCTTAGCTGGCCTCCAACCTGCAGTGATCCTCCTGCCTCAGCCTCTCAAGTGTTCACAAAACAGGCATGTACCACCACACCAGGCCAAAAAATTTTTTAATGTAAAAAAAAACAAAAACAAACAAACAAACAAATATATATATATATAATCTCACTGGAAAATATTTACTGGGAAAAACTTTTGTAGTTTTTCCACTAAAGAATAACTTCTTTCAGATCAGTTTAAACTTACTTTTATGTACATCTAGCATGAAGCCATGAAAATGGACCCGTTTCTTCCTTTTCATTTCCACATAAGCATAAAATATATCCATCACCATTGTTTTTCCTGTACCTTAAAAATAAAAATAAGACGTTAAGAATGCTATTATACAGTATATACTGATTGCTCTAACGGTCATCATTAGTTTTGAGACAGTGAAACACATTCCTCCTGAAAAGCTGAAAGCTACGTTACTTTTTTAGCAGGCTTTTTACTCAGTATACTGAACTGGCTAGCCAGCCACTACAGTGCCGTGCCCCGTAGCTCCACAGCTGAAACCCTAGCTACTGAGGAGGCCGAGGCAGGAGGATCACAAGTTCAAGGTCAGCCTGGGCAACTTAATGAGACTTTGTCTCAACTAAAAAAAATAAATAAAAAGGCTGGGATGTAGACCAGCATACTCTGCATTCAATCCCCAATACCAAAACAAAAGTTAGATTTTTTTAAAAAATATTGGTATTATCCTTTGTGGTTAGGAAATACATACAACATTTAATTAACATTACAGGAGTTATTTTCCCCAGATATAACATGCACTTCTATGTTTACAAACTGGCAGGATTTATAGATTATTTTTCAGTCTTTGCTTCCAAAAGAAAGTAGTATAAATACAATAATTAATGAATGAGTCAATTGGTAGGTAAAGAATTCATGAACAGGAATCAAACTGCACAGGAAATACTTCCCAGAATCAATAGCTGGGATCACGTCTTATTAAAAAGTTTCTGCATGTCAAAAGAAATCTCCAGTATAGTGAAAAGAAAACCCACAAACTGCGAAAAAGTCTTAGTGAACTGTCCCTCAGACAAATGACTTCTGTCTCAAACATATAAAGAATTAAAAAAAATCAGACCCCCAAAATTCAAGTACTCAATCCAAAAATGGGCATCTGAGATGAATACAGAGTTTTCAGATGAAGAAAGACAAATAGATACATGAAAAAATGTTCATCATCATTACTCATTACAGAAATGAAAATTAAAACCACACTGAGATTCCATCTCACTCTTGAAAGAATGGCCAGGATCAAGAAAACCAACAACAACAAATGCTGGAGAGGCTGTGGGGGAAAAAGGAACTCTCCTGCACTGTTGGTGGGAATGTGGACTGGTGCAACCACTGTGGAGGTCAGTTTGGAGATTCCTTAAAAAGCTGGGATTGGAAGTCCCATTCGACCCAGCTATTCCACTTCTAGGCATATTCCCAGAAGAACTGAAAGCATCATACCACAGAGATATACGTGCACCCATGTTTATAGCAGCACAATTTGTAATAGCCAGATCTTGGAAACAACCTAGGTGTCCATCAACTGAGGAATGGATAAAAAAGTTGTGGTATTTTTACACAATGGAGTACTACTCATAAAGTACTACTTATAAAGAATGATCACATTAACATATTTATAAATAATTGGGCACAATTTGAGACCATACTCATAAGCAAAATAAATCAAATTCACATGTATAAATACCGTATAGTCTCCCTAGTGTAAGAAATTGTAAGAGTACATAAGAGTTTATGGTAATCATGATTCCCTATTACATTGCTTTGAGGCCTTATAATGATTGCATTCATTAGCTGGAATGGGTTTATCCTGGTTTGTTTGATTTTATTATCTGTGATGGTTATGAACAGCTACTTTGAGGAAAACAAGTCATTAAAATAGCCAGTGCTGATTTAATATCATCTTACTCTACCATGCTTTTGCTCTTCTATTTCCTTTGGTTCATGTTGTATCTTATTCAATTGTATTATGTGTGAAAGTATAAAAAAATTTTCTATGGAAAATGAGATAATACAGTAGCCATGGTTCGTTTTCTGTTATTTGGTTCTGAATGCCCTGTAATACTTTCATTCTCTTTAATGGTTTTATACTATTTTGTTATGTTTGATACTATTGTATATTAAGTTATGCTCAACTATTTCAAAGAAAAAGGCATTATGGTAGTCACTGTTAATTAGAGGTTGTCTTCTGATGAAATACTGTGTTGCTTACATTGTTCTGTTCTGATCTGCTTTGTTACGTCCTGTTTTGTCTTAATCTCTTTAACATAAAAAAAGAATGAGTAAATTAATTACTGGGTCATAAGAACTGCTTTAGATACCATAGAAAAATTAAGAAATGATAAGAAAAGATGAGAAAAAGTAAAAATGATTAATATGTAACCTATATACTGAAAATCAATTAGGCAGCTGAGAGCTGGAGAACGGCCTATAGCACATTTTTAAAAGATGGGCAAGTAAGCTTTCCAAATGAGGCCCTCTTGTACTCTGGTTCAGTCAATCTCATAATTAAAGGATCTAGTTCTCAACACTCTGAAACTTTTAATCACCACGATTACGTTAGTCATTGAGCAGCCAACAGCCTGAGCAAGAGAGCCTTAGCTACTGCTGTGGGGAAGCAGCCCAGCAGCGCAGGCAGCCCTGGGCACCCCACCTCCCCGGCTCTGTCCCCCACCTCTCCCACCCGACCCCGGCCCTCCAGCCCCAGCTCTCTGTTCTGGAGCTGCGGTCCCTAAAGTTAAAGAGCTGAGCCTCAGCTCTGGGCTTCCCTCCATCTGCAGCATCTGTGGGCCAGAACGTTTCCTCAGGCCGAAGATGTGGCTCCAGGGTATGTAACTATGAAAGCTGTATTCACTGACGAGAATAAATTAGGAGTTAAACAGGTATTTAGAAAATTACCCCATGTTTGGAAATTAAGTAACATGCACCCTGGGGCAGCTGCAAAAATGATTTAAAAGTTTACAAATTTGTTAAACTGAATGAAAATTTAAAATGCAACTTATCAGTTTTGATTAATGCCACTGAAGCAGCACTTAGACATAAATTTATATTTTAAATGCTTATATGAAAAATAAACTTTAATCTGAATTTCTAGTTTAATAATAAGCTAGTAAAGGCAGCAAATAAAAAGTATGAAAAATGAAATAATAAAGAGCAGAATTGCAGACCAGAAAGGAGACAATAAGAAATTCAGTAAAATGAAAAGCTGATTCTTTCAAAGCAAAAAATAATAACTGATTAAAAATCCTACTGATCTAATGAGAAAAAAGACATGAGACACAAATTATCAATAGCAGGAATGAAAGAGAAGGATCACTATAGCTACCAGAGATATTAAAAGGGTAATAAAGAAAGTAAGTTAAAGAAAAATAACAAATTATAAACAACTAGAGTTCCAGTGGCACAATCAGTTACCAAGCAGTACTTATGTAACAATTTACAAACAACTTTCTGTCCATAAACTCAGTGTAAATAAAAGAGATAAATTCCTTGAAAAATGACCAAAACTAGCAGAAAAATAAATAAATTTAAATAACTATTTATTATAGAAATTAAATTTATGAGTAATAACTTTCCCACTAAAAACACTTCAGGTTCAAATGGCTTCAGCACTGAAAACTAATCAACTATATTAGGACTCAACAGCACTAATCTTATATAAACATCTCAGAAAATATAGGAAGAAGAAATACTTCCTAATTCATTTCATGAGACCAGAAATAAACCAAAGCATGTACATTATCAAATGAGTTTATATCAGAAATATAACAATGGCTTATTAAACATCAATCAATATAAATCATCATATTAGGGACTTAAATAAAGGCATAGTGCCCTATACCTGTGATCTCAGCACTCTAGGAGGCTGAGGCAGGAAGATCACAAGTTTAAACTCTGCTGGGAAACTGTGTGGTTCCAAAATTAATAATAATAATCATCATAGTGTTGGGAGTGTCATTCCATATGAAGGCTTTGGTTTCAACCTCAGACTTGCAAAAAAATAAAAAATTTTCTATTAGTCATAACATGTGAAAGAAAATTAACAAATGTGCATACGCAGCACAGATCTGGGCTCTATTATGGCTCGTGTCTGGATGCCTCCCCACAGAGCCTCATATAGTCACAGGCTTTTCAGAGGTGGTGGAATCTAGAGCGTGGCATTGATGCACGATGCAATGCCAGGGGATAAAGAGCACTAGGACTGGCTAGGTACCAAGACGGTGGAGCGGTAAGCAGCACAGAGCCTCTGAGATGCCATCCAGACACCGGAATAGAGCAACATGAGGAAGACAGGACGGACAAGTGGGTCCCCTGGACCTAGGGAGGACCTGAAGTACGAAATGAAGCCCACGGAGAAAGTGACGAGAAAAATTTCAGTGAAGGAGGAGGAGGTAATGAGCGGCACCTGCTCCCTGACCAGGACCTCACTGAACAAGAAAGTGGCTCAAGCCTGCAGACACCCAGTGCTAGCTGGAAACCTCAGAGCACTCCACAGAGACACAGCAGCGGAGGGGAGGGTGAGTGTGAAGACCGCATCAGCTGGTGGTGAGTGCTGGGGGCTAGGTCATCCTGTGCAACACAGCGACTGGCCAGGAAAGGGGCCAGCTGAGGCAGGACTCACCCAGAGCTGCTTCCAGCTCCATCTAGTGCCTCCCCGCTGGGCTCAGGCCATGGAAGGTGCTCACAGCTGCAGGCCGAAGGAGTCTGCTCTCAGCCAGAAGATTACCCACCACCCCACCAAAAAGCTGCCACAGGCTTGCTGGAGCAGATCAGCATGGATTGGGACTCTGTCCGCGCACACTGTCTGCCGGTGACAGCACAGACCGATCTGGCAGGGGGCTTTTTTTTCTCTCTCTCTCTTGTTTGTTTATTATTGTGGTGGTGGTGGTTTAGGGTTTTTTGTTTTGTTTTGTCTTTGTTTTTTCTCCTTCAGTATTTTTACGAGTGTGAAAATGGTTTCTAGCCTCTTTGTGGCTGTGTCCTGTTTTATCCCTCCTTTGATCTCTCCCTTCTGTACCAGCTTCCCAAAGTTAGTGCAGCCCTTTGTGTTCCAGCCTTATATCTAAACTCTTCTTCTTCTTCTCTATTTTTTACCTAACCCTTTTCAAATTCTAACCCCAAGGGTAAAATTGACATATGAAGGACTTATATACTGCATATAATTTTCTGGTCTGTTTTAGACTTCATTACATAACCATAAATCTAGTTCACATGGTTAAAGGTGGCAAATTAATGGTTACCTCAGTTTGTCATTTTTTAGGCTGTGACTGATGCTACTCTTATTGCTG